GGCTTCCGCAAAAACAAAGAAAAACGAAGGGAACGCGCAAACAAGGCGTTGTGCCAGATTTGCAATGGGCTGCGGCACGAGCAAGCCGGGTCCCGGCACGAGAAAACCGGGTCTGACCGACGAGGAGCTGAAGAATTGGCGCGAGTTCGGCGGCGGCGACCTGGAGCCGGTCCTCGCGAACGGCGCCGTCGCACTCCTCGACGCGCAGTGGATCATCAGCCACGCCGAGGCGGGCGGCGTCCTCACTCACCGCCAGGCGCTGCCCGACGAGGCCCTCCTCTCCCTCGCCGACCTCATCGAGGCGACCAACGAGAATGTTGACTTCCGGAGCAGGGAATTGAGCGCCGCGCCGTCATTCCCCGTCGCCGCGCTCTCCTACCCGTGGCTGACCAAGGACCACCCCGACCCGTGCGGAGCCAACCTCGCCCGCGTCGCAAGGGCGCTCAAGGCTCTGCTCAGCCTCGGCCACTACTCGCGGCTAGGCGTCTTTTGGGACTTTGGTTCGCTGCACCAGCACCCCGACCCCACCAACGGCATCATGCGCACCGAGGAGCAGAACGCGCTCTTCAAGCAGGGGCTGGGCTGCCTCGGCACGCTCTACTCCCACCCGCAGACAACCGTGCTGCGGCTGACCTCCTTCCCGGACGGCCACGAGACGGAGGACCAGGCAGAGGGCACCAACGTGGCCAAGTACGTTGACCGCGGCTGGTGCGCCACCGAGAGCGCCTGGTCGAGCCTGACCAAGGCCGGCGCCCTCTCGCTCGACCTCGGCTTGATGCGCGACGGCGAGGAGTACGACTACTACAGCCTCCGACACGAATGCACCAAGGGTGGCGGCCGGCGCCCTCCGCTGCTGCCCTCTGCGTTCGCGGCGGAGCTGGAGACGAAGAGCTTCACCAACGGCAAGGACGACAAGCCGCTGGTGAAGCAGCTGTACGAGGCCGCCTTCGAGGAGCAGTTTGGCAAGGCGACCAAGCTGGACTACCGCGGACTCGGATGGGGCAACGCGGAGGCGGCGCAGCTGGCGGAGGTCCTCGCGAGCGGGGCAGTGCCGCGGCTCGAGGAGCTCGATCTCGGCGACAACAAGATCGGTGACGAGGGCTTCGAGGCGCTGGCCGCCGCCCTCGGCAAGGAGGGGGCAGTGCCGCGGCTCGAGCAGCTCTATCTCGAAGGCAACAAGATCGGCGACGAGGGCTGCAAGGCGCTGGCCGCCGCCCTCGGCAAGGAGGGGGCAGTGCCGCGGCTCGAGAATCTCCATCTCCGCTCAACAAGATCG